CAGGTCCTCGTGTTAGGTCAAGCTCTTTAACTGACAGCATCTCCTCAGCCTTCAATGTCACTGAATATCATGTGGATTCTCTGAAAAAGCTTCTTGGATAGAATGATTAATTTGGAGCATTCAAGTACAGTGGGCACATCAGAAAGGATGGCATGTCATACTGGTGGAGTTAGGATTTTCACACATCCTATTGAAGTAAATGATTGTGGTACTAATGGGATAAAGATATATTAGATGATTTCTACCCTATCTAAAAGGCCAAGCTTTATTGATAATGTCATAAGATTGATGCTTTTAACCTATTATGTCAGTTTCTGTTTCAAATACTCTAGAGTTCTGCCATACACTGCCTGTGTAAAATGCCTGACCTCACGCAATGATGCTCTGTGTTGATCGTCTCTGGTTGAGCCTCTTGCCTTGGTCTGGGTTGTCAAATGTTACCACACCTGCTTGGGTTGAGGAGTTCATTTTACATCTTCCACATCTATTCTCACTTTCAACTTGCTTGCATCTTTCCACCCTCAACATAACAGCAAAATAACAGGAATCAGTAAACACTGCTTATGACAACTCTCAATAGTAATGGTCTCGATTCCCTAATTAAAGGACACAGACTAACGGCTTGGATTAGAAAACAAAGTTCATCTTTCTGCTGCATCCAAGAAACATACCTCACCACTAAGGACAAAGGCAGCTATCCTCTTAGGGTAAAAGGGATGATCACGGCTGTGCATCAGCTACTGTGAATGGATCGTCCATGCTTGGGGTTAATATGTTTCGGTTTGAGTGCAGCTCGGTGACATGGCTGGTTATTTTTTAAGTCTCTACATTAATGCCCACTGCTTAGTGGGTAGATGGCCAAGAACGTGTCACCTGAGAGGTCTGTGAAGGAAGCTGAGTGGGTGACCCTGAATGATGGCATTTACCCTGGGGCTAACACTGATCCATCCACACATGGATGCCACAGTCAGCATTGGGAGTGGAAATGGCAGAGTTTGTTGGCAGGAGTAGAGGGAGGATGGGTGACAGGCTGTGTAGCCTTGCCCAAACTGGCACACCGCACAAGCTAGAGTGGTCTGAATCTTTGCAGGTCACCTCTTCTGGAGTACCTTGGGCCTGGCCTGGTGACCAGAACATTATAGTACTAAAGTCCAGCTTCCTTGCTTTTCCCAGAGACAGTGTGAGATTTCCCGCTCCTATTATATGTTTAGGTTCTGCGTTTTGATTGTCTTCTCTTCATTTTATATTATCTTTTAAATTCAGTAGAAGAGTTTGGCCCGGGGCACTTTGTGCTTTACTAGGCCAATGCTCTCTGGAGCCAGGGGTGACTTGCACAGAGAGAGCTGGAATTGACGTACCCAGCAGGACTACTGTTTGTTTGTTTGTTTGTTTATTAAAGATTTCTGTCTCTTCCCCACTGCCGCCCCCCATTTCCCTCCCCCTCCCCCAATCAAGTCCTCCTCCCTCGTCAGCCCAAAGAGCAATCAGGGTTCCCTGCCCTGTGGGAAGTCCAAGGACCACCCACCTCCATCCAGGTCTAGTAAGGTGAGCATCCACGAAACTGCCTAGGCTCCCACGAAACCAATAGGTACAGTAGGATCAAAAACCCATTGCCATTGTTCTTGAGTTCTCAGTAGTCCTCCTTGTCCGCTATGTTCAGCGAGACCGGTTTTATCTCAGGCTTTCTCAGACCCAGGACTACTGTTTTTTAATATGAATTCTCAAACACACATAAGATAGAGTAGAATCATGAAATACCATGTTTTGCATAGATTTGAAGCACATCAATTGTGTTTTACTTCCCCTACCTACTCCATACAGACAGACACGTACTGCTGGAGTATTTTAATACTAATCTCCTATATTAGGTCTCATTTTATGTATATAATAATTTTCTGATAGGAACAACTGTGAGATATAATCACGGCAACATAGTCATATCTAGCAACTTTAATAATTATGTTAGAGTCTTTCAGAAGCTGTTCTGTGCTGTTTCTTTAGCTACTTGTAAACAGTAGGGAAATTAAATTTACCTTACAATCATAGTCCATTGGCTTTTAAAATTTCAAAGTGCCATTAGGGTTTTCTACTCCTGTGGGTAGTGTCCAGATGGACCTGTGGGCTATTTGTACTGGAGGACTTATGACTTCCTTTTTTTCTGGGACCAAACACATCTGATGAACACTCTGTACCCGACCCTGTTATAATGACTTACATCATAGGTTTTTACTGGGCAGAGTTGTGAGAAGTTTGGCAGTTAAGTTTGGTATTATTTTGAGTTTGAAATGACTGTCATGGGCTCACACATTTGACTATCTTGTCCCTAGCTGGGTGCTGTTTGGGGACTCTGCTGGTAGGGGTGGGTCACTGGAGGAGATTGCCTGGCCCTGCTTCTGGTCCCATTGATCTACCAAGGTGGCTGTCACATCGTCCCACTGAACTGCCCATCACGCCTTCCCTGATACCATGGACTACACCCTCCGAAACTTTGAGCTACAATTGAAGAGAGAGAGAGAGAAAGAAGGGAGAGGCAGAAGCTGCCTCTTAAGAGGGAGACAGAAAAGGAAGGGACCCAGGCTGCAAGCAGGAAGGAAGGCCTGCCTGCCTCAGTGGACTGGGGTGGGGGGAGTGGGCATGGCTTGTCTCTTAAAAAGACAGAACAGATCATTACAACAATAAACTTTCCTTCCTTTAGTTTGCTTCTCTTGGGTATTTTGTTGTGCCCTGGGCTTTGTTAAGAATTCACAAAATTGCCAGGTGGTGGTACCTTTAATCCCAGCAATTGAGAGGCACGCAGAGGAAGGTGGATCTCTGTGAGTTCAAGGCCAGTTTGGTCTACAGAAAGAGTTCAACAACATCCAGGGCTACACGTAGAGAAACTCTGTCTTGAAAGACAAACAAAAGAATTCACAAAATTTATTTGACATCAGCACTTGTTTTTAGGTAACATTTGTTATGCAAAATACATTTTTTGGAAAGGCTGTCCTAGGAGGCAGATGCTCCCTTGAAATAGCAAAATAGAAATGTTTAACTTCATTTTACTCTCAATTAACTGGATAACTTTTTGTCCAAGCCACATTATTATAATCAGTGTTGTTTTCCTGAAATCTCCATAATGTAGTGCAGTGTGCCACACTACAGGGGCGAATCATGTGTGAACATATTGGACTTCCACCGATACTTATAAAATAACAATAGCTAAACAGAAAGTCCCTCAAGAGGAAAGATAATACATTGGAAAATGGAAAATGGAAAGAAAAGGTAGAAGTAAGCTGTGAGGAAGCAGGGAGACCGTCCAGGAACAGCAGTGGACTGAACTGCTCTTTATTTGTGAAAAATTGGCCAAACACGGCTTTAAAATTGTTTCACAGACATCTTGCAAATGTCCTCATTTCCACGTAGTCTTAAAATACATTTATTTTATGAAAAACAAAAGCCCACCAAAACTTTGTTCTAATTAACTCATAAATAAAAATACCACAGAGCCGGTTTAAGAAAGCCAGTCAAGGCTTTCCCAGTTCTCTCGCTTAGAGTGGCCATGCTGAAGCCATGGAGCTTTGCCTGGAGTCTCACACTGATTACCAGCTGCGTGTTCATTCACGTGTCTACCAGGGGGAAAGACTAGGACAGACCTGAAGCTAGGAAACAGCCTTCTATCCTCTCTGATGCCTTTGCTGCGTCCTGTCTTTCCTCATCGTCCAGTGCCTGCTCATTCTCCTTTGTGAATGCTATCCCCACGCCTGCTCCTGTTTGTACACACACACTTAGAACCATAGCGCAGGGTCTGCATGGGAGGGAGAGCAGGAGGGCTTTCTCTGAGTCCGGACTGCCTTACTTAACATTACACTTTAAAACTCCACCTGTTCTGAGATTTTCATGGGTTTCTTCTTTACAGCAGAATAATATCCATTTGTTTGGTGAGGACACATAGACTGGGTAGTTTCTCTGCTGTAGTAAACAGCAGCACAGACACAGGTGTGCCAGTCTCTCTGTGGTAGGCTGTCAAGCATTCCGGGTATATGCCCAGGAGTAGAATAGCTGGAGCATATGATGACTGTTTAAAAACATGAATGGGTAACAGGGTCAAAGGAGGCCAGCGAGGGTAGTTGTTCCCCATCCATTCCCTCCTCCGTCCTCTGTGTGCATGGTTGGGCATGGCATGAGGACTCTGCATCGTCCCCTTTCTAGCCCGGCTCAAGTGACATCCACCCAGATCCTTCTATACTTGCTGATCTTCACATTAGATCAGTACCTTGCTGGCAAGTGTGTGTGTGTGTGTGTGTTTGTGTTTGTGTGTGATGTGTATGGTGTGTGTTGTATGATGTGTATGTGATGAGGGAGGGACATCTGTCTATGTGTTACTTTAATTGGTTAATAAAGAAACTGCCTTGACCCTTTGATAGGACAGAAAATTAGGTAGGCGGAGTAAACAGAACAGAATGCTGGGAAGAAGGCAATGAGGCAGATGCAATAGCTCTCCTCTCCGAGATGGACGCAGGTTAAAAGCTTCCTGGTAAGCCACCACCTCGTGGTGCTACACACATTATTAGAAATGGGTTAAGCAAAATGTGAGAGTTAGCCAGTAAGAGGCTAGAGCTAATGGGCCAAGTAGTGTTTAAAAGAATACAATTTGTGTGTTGTTATTTTGGGTATAAAGCTAGCCATGCGGGAGCTGGGCAGGAACGCAGCCCACCGCTCCTCACAACATGTATGGTATGTGTGTGTGTTTGTGCGTGTGATGTGGTATGTGGTGTATGTGTGTGTGGTGTGTGATGTGTGTGTAGTGTGTGGTGTGTTATGTGTGTTGTGTATGTGTAGGGTATATGTGTTTGTCTGTGTGGTATGGTATGTGTGTGTTGTGTATGTGTGGTATGGTGTGTGTTGTGTATGTTTGTGGTGTATGTATGTGTGTTTGTGGTGTGTGTGCGTGTTCTGTGTATAGTGGGACTGCCTCTTTGCTTTCCGGTGCCATAAAGATAATTTTTCTGTGTTACTTACAGTCAAACTACAGCTCCAAGCGGAAGAGAGAGGGGTTGTGTCTATCAAGGGAGTGTGTGCAAACCGGTACCTTGCTATGAAGGAAGACGGACGGCTGCTGGCTTCTGTGAGTAGTACTTTCTTGGGGTTTTCTTTCATTTGTTTTGTGCGGTTCTTTACTAGCATTGGGACTGAGTCTTTGTTTGGGTTTTATGTACAGCACTTTAATCTTTGTATTCCCCTAGGTAACAGCTTTCTCTGTATTTCATAGACTTTAGGACTCCAGTAAGGAAGGACACACAGTGCCCGTGAGGTCAAGGCCAGGCATTCTGCAGTCCCTTTGACTCTAGACTCCAAATCGCTACAAGCTGGCCTTGGCAGGATAATCGACAAGGCTGTGTGCAGGGCCCATAATTTTCGTTTGGTAGCTAAAAGCATTTTAAGACCCTCTACTAGAGTAGCCCATGCCTGTAGTGTACAGTATGGCAGATGCGCTGGACAGCAGCCTTCCAAAGCAAGTATTCTCTGCCCCAGTGGGTCCACTGTGCAGGAAGGCAGAGGAAGTGTTGTGTATGGGTGCTTTATTGAGTTCCTTCTGTATTTCACACATATGCATGGTATACATGCATGAGAAGGTTGGGAGTAATTTAGGGAAGACAGGGACCAGCTTGCGGAGAATACAGGGAGGTGGCTTCTACGCAGGGTCTGAGGTGAAAAGGATCCCAGGCAGAGGTAGAGCTGAAGCTGTGGATCCAAGAGGCCACTTAGTGTATCTCTCAAATTACATGCCGCTCCCCACAGCTGGAGTGTGAGCTGGAGAGGACAGAACACAATGAAAGGGACTGGAGAGGCTGGCAAGGCACCAGCCAAGCCCGCTGTCAATTCTTACAGCATGCTAACCATGCTCTGTGCTGTGAGGCTGCAGAGTCCCCGGCCAGCAGGGGTTGCCTCTGGGTGAGAGCACTCTGGCAGTGGAGCAGCGTGGCTTAGAGGAGCCTGGGAGGCTAATCAGAGTTGAAGAGGAAACACCGCTGTGGCCAGAACAACCGTGGGCATCTCATAGGGACTGGGGAAGGAGGGTGAGGTAGACAGAGGCACACGGCTCTGGGCTCACTTTAATCAGCTCTGTTTATGCTGCCCACTGCCGTTCACACGTGATGAAGCTAGCTGTTAGAGAGAGCTCTGCAAGCCGTGCTCCAGGCTCCAGCAAGCTCTTTTACCCCTTTATCTGTGTTCTTCTGCACTCCCTGCCTCCGTGGCCTTGTTTTGTGCTGGAGGACAGTCCTCCTAGGCTTTATCAGCAGTTTTCCTGCAGTCACAAGGCCACATCTGGGCCAAAGTTTCTGCCTGGTAAAGGAAAACTGCAGACTCTCTGGACGCCACCAAAACACAAGCAGCATTTGCAGGGCTGGCCTTGTTTTGATCATAACCGGCTGTGGACAGCGCTAGCCCGGGAGCCTTGAGGCTCCATTCTTCCCTTTGATTAAACCTGGTGTGTAACTGGATTGTGGGGAGCCTAGATGGCAATCATGAAAGGAACCGTTCTCAAGAACTCAGGCGGGTTGGCTGGTTCGTCTGCAATGATTAAAAAGCACCATGGCTGTCAAGAGCTCTGGGGATGGAAGCCGCCCGCTCGCCACCACCATCTCTGTGACAACTGGGTCACAAATGAGAGGAAAGAAGTCAAAGATGATAGCGTTGAAAATGGAGTTGTGTCCAGGTCTTCATGGAGAATTCTGTTTCTCTTGATAAATGGGTGTCAAACTTTGTAGTGTATTAAACTAGACAGTGTTTCCAAGTCCCTTCCTCAGCAAAGGTGTTGCAAGGTGAAGGCCATCTTGCCCTACTGAGTCTTACTGGATTTCGGTCCCCTTAGTGCAGGCCAACTCTTCATGATGCAACAGACTGCCACCAAGTTGATAGAGTAAAAGTCAGTTTAGGAAACTGTCACAAACTCTCAGCTGGGACAAAGTCCAGTTGTTAAACACACACACACATACACACACACGGACAATTCAGGATTTATCAGGCTCTTCTGAGCAGGGCACCAGCCAGGCCAGCTGTGGTAACAGCTGGCGTGTGTTCCAGCCCCCATCTGAGGGCTCAGCCCCGCCAAGTCACAAGCTACTCTCTGGACTCAGCATCTAGTTCAGATGGCTGGCTGCCATGCAGTCTCAGAAAGTCCCTCTTCTCTGCTGGTCAGGGTGGGCTGAGTCTTCTAGTGAAGAAGTCGGTGCTGTCCCTCACAGCAGGAGAGGTGCCGATGGCCTTGCCAAGGGGCCCTTCTCTCTGAGTCTGATCTGCCATATTGAGCTGTCAACAGCAATGACTTCTGGAGTAACTCCAGTGTCCTGATCGGGAACCATCACTTGGAGAAGCTGTTTGTAGGCTTGTGCTTGCTCAGGCTTAAGTCTGGCCACCTTCTAGCTGGCCCCATGTCACCCAGTGTGTGTGAGGGCAACACAGGATTGCTGTGAATGTCACCCACTGAGTGAAAATGGGGGCATGACCACTTCTAGGGATAATTGAGAAGGCTTATTGTACATATGAGAAGAGATCAGACAGAGGCATCTGGAAGAGTCCAGACTGAACATGGCCAGCAGAATAGACCAGGCCACGAGAGGAGGGAGGGCAGAAAGCACACAAAGAAGAGAAGAGAGAGGGGAGCAAGTGAGGGGAGAGGACCAGGAGCCAAGAGTGGAGAACCAAGAGCACAAGCACTGAGAGGACCAAGAAGGAGGCCAAGAGGAGGGAAAGAGCACAGGGCCAAAAGGGCTGGGTTCTATAAAAGCGAAGCTGGGGAGGGGAAGGGAAGCTCAGGGCTGGAGATGTTTTAGAATGGGGGTGAGAAGAGCTGAGAGGAGCCAGGATTCTTGTGGTGCAGAGAGAGCCTGGCAGCCAGGGTCCACTCTGATGTGTTAATAGGTTTCCCAATTAGCTATTGTCTTGAGTTTCTTTGGGACCTAACATGCACTAGGTGACTCCTGTAGAGGCTCCCAAACACACACATTCTCTTGGAGGCAAGAGTATCCAGAGAGTTGACCTGGCTTTACTGCTGGTTGAAGGTGCAAGAAAGGACTGCAGCACCTTTACATGACAATGTCTGAAAGCATTCAGGTTAAAGCTTGCTTGTCATTTAAAACTGTGTTTCTGTGTGTGTGTGTGTGTATTCTCATATGTGTAACTGCTTGTTTGTGTATGTATCATTGTGTGCACTTCTGTGGAGTCCACAAAGAGCAGCAGATCTCCTGGCACTGGAGTCAGTACAGTTGTGTACCTTGTTTTGGTTTGTTTTGCCCAGGATCTCTTGCTAGAGCTTGCCCAGTAGGCTAAGCTGACTGAACTGAAAGCGCCGGGGTCCTCAGCCTCCACTTTAACACTGCAGCGATTGCAAGCACATGACACCATGCCTTTTTTTTTTTTTTTTAATAAGATAGTGTCCTATTATGTAGCCTTGGCCAGCCTGGCACTACCTATGTGTAGTTGGAGGCTTTCTATCCCACCCACCTGTTCCTAATTAACCAATCTGAGGCTTAATCTCAATTGTAATTGTTTGACCAATGGCTCAGACTTCTTATTGGCTAGCTCTACATATAAATTAACCCATTTCTATTAATCCGTGTAGCAACATGAGGCTGTGGCTTATCTGTAATGCTCAGACATTTTTTTCCTTTGGTGGCGACATGGTGTCCCCTGACTCCGCCTTCTCCATATCTCTGTTTGGATTTCCCACCTAGCTCTAGTCTATCCCGCCATTGGCCAAATGAGCTTTATTTATCAGCCAATAAAAGTATCACATATACAGAAGGACATCCCACATCACCTTTGTAGATCAGGCTGACCTCTGACGCACAGAAATCCACCTGCCTCTGTCTCCTAAGTACTGTGATTAGAGACACGTGCTACTATGCCTGGCAGTGGCAGGCTTTTTAAATGTGAGTCTGGAGCTCAGATGCAGGCCCTCATGCCTTCATGGCAAACCCTTTGACGGCATCTCTCCAGGGCTGGAAAACATTTGTTAAAAGAGATGTTCCTCTTTTCAAAGCAAGGAAATATGAATGTCCAAACAGCGGCTGTACCCCACTGTAAAGGCCGGTATTTGGAAATAGAGTTGTAGTTCTTTGATACATGGCAGGCTTCTTACTCAGTTTCTTTTTGTTTATTTGTTTGTTTGTCATTTTGTTTGAGACAGAGCTTCTCTGTGTAGCCCTGGCTGTCCTGTCTGTAGACCAGGTTGGTCTTGAACTCACAAAGAGCCACCTGCCTCTGCCTCTTGAGTCATGGGACTAAAGGCATGTGCTACCACTGCCCGGCATACTTGAGGGGTTTTAACAGTGAGATGGATTCTATAATGCAAAAAGGTAGGAAAATGGTGTTTTAGGGTTCAGTATGCAGCTTGAATGTCTGCACTGATCAAATCTGTCAGAAACAAGAGTGTTTTTTTTTTAAAGCTGCATCATTGTAAAAAGATGAACTGCTAGAGTGAATGCAGAAAGTATGGTCAAGTCAGAATCGCTGCTCTCAGAAGCCACTCCCAACAATTCTCCACAGCCTTTTTATAAGATTGAGACCACATTGGCTCTTAACTTTTCCCATTTGTGGTTTTTATTTAGTTTTGAAACCCTCAACAGGGATACTTGCATCACATCTGCTTTGAATTCTCAGAACTGGCACAATCAAATGCATTTTGAGATTCCTATTGAGCAAACGTCTTCATAAGCCAAAATTGCAGAAATCAAAGTACTGTAAATGAGTAAATAACTCAGAAAACAGAGCATGGGGAAGTGGCTCTAAGGTTCAAACCTAAAACAGAGCAGAGGACCAGAGCCAACATGCAAACTCGAGAGGTACTGGGAAGCCGCGGGGCATCTTGCCGTGGCACAGATTTCTCTAACTCTGGAAGTCATCTGATCCGGTGAAGCCTGGAGAAGGGACAGAGCTTGTTCAGAAATTGTGCACGTTAGTTAGGGGGTGAGGCAAAGCTGAAACCCGGGCTGCCTAGCTGGCTGGAAGCCGTCATGTATGTTAGACTCTTGGAAAAAGCCGTCTGAGTTTCCCCAGAGAGTCTGTAGTCAGTACAGATAAACCACAGTCTATATTTCAACTCAAAGCTGGCTCTCTCGGACC